GCTTTTTGATAGGTGGGCGATGGAGTTGCGTGCCGAGGGAGGCGTTTGCTTGCTTTTGGCAGGCTGGAGCACAAGTTTGCAGCATGCCATCAGGTCTCGTCATGGCTCGCGTGCAAAATTGTTGTGGCTGCTTACGGGGGAACCTACGTGGCCCAGCGTCGGCGCGTGTAGCCAAAAACGCTCTTGGGCTTCGAACCGGGGGGGGGGCGCACGGCAGTCTCTATGACATTTTTGACGTGGTTACACGCCTGCGGCAAGGTCTCCGAAGCTGTAGCACACCATCTCCTGCTGATGACAAAGGAACAGGTACACGCCAGGCTGGCCGTAAGGGGCGAGACTCTCTCCTGCTTCCGCGGGCAACAAACTTCCCGCTTCACCCATTCAACAATCGGGCTTGAAGGCAACGCGTATGGGTAGCGTCACGACATGCATAGAGTCTGGGCCCAAGGTGCTTCTTGACTTTGCCCAATACGGGATTCTACAAGCACATCAGCGCCCGGCCGAGGAAGACTTGACTGCATGTGTGCATGGGGGGGACGCAGGTGCGCCAGATACTAGGTCGCAGCAGTGAGGCAAACAAGGAATCAAACACATTTCTAGGGGGTCACCTGATTGCAGACCATGCGGGTGTAATGGAATCGATTGTCGGTAGGATGACCCGATCGTGGACGGCTTACTCTCGCCCTGTGCCAGTCACCAGGGACGGAAAATGCAAGCCGCCCACTCGACCTCGATTGGGAAAAAAAAAAGACAATCTGAAATCACGAATAAAGATAGCCCTTCTGTCCCTTAAGATGGTGTTTGTCACAAAGACTGTCGCCGTGGATGCTTCTGTGCTGCTACTAATTCCTAGTTTGTCTCATCCAGAGCAGTCTCACGGTTCGCGTAGTCGGTAGGCCGGCCAACAACCAAGGTGGTGAGGCAGCTCGACAAGTTTCCGGGGCTGCCGTTGCATCCCTGGACGACTCAAGTCTGTTATTGAGTGTCTCGCTGTCTCTCTGAGCCAATTGTTTTGTTGCGCCACAGTTGCCAAAAGGAGTTAGTGGTGTGCGGGACTTGCCCGTGGCCCCCACTTGCCGTCCACGGCAGCTAATTTTAGCGCCCGGCCCAACGCTAAATCGTCAGAAGATTAGATAAGCCGTCGGCTCGTGCACGTCGGTTGACACGCTGAAGAAACTCGGAACCATCGGCGATCTGAATTGGGACCGGCAAAAGATAAAGTACGGGGTGTGAGGAGCGGACAGCAAGGGACAAGCTAGCGGTATCTTTTGCTGGACCATTCCACCACTCTCGCACGCCCGGGGTTAAATATGCATCGGCGTCAAGGTGAGTTGCATGGGACCTGATAATCGTCGCAGATGGTTTGGCGTACAAGATTTCAGAGGGCTGATGAAGGGGAGCGGGAAACACGGAGCACCGGGATCCAACGACCCCGAATTGGTCAAGCAGAGCCAGAACCCGCCCCTGTCCGCAATACGTACACCCTGCGACCACCCCCGCCACGTGTGCTGCCCTGTGAGCTCCAGGCTCTTTAAACACGGAGAAAAACAAGTCTGACGCTTTGGGAACTAGCCCACCAATCAGGCATCAGGCTGCCCGCAATCATTCCTGGACGGCATCCTTGATTAATCACAGGGGCCAGGGCCCACCCGTGATGTGCTGGCAGGGTCTGGCATAACCTGTATTGAGCTTGGATGAGCCGAGCGCAAATAATTGAGGTGAATGGCTAAGGAGGCTTTTCCGTACGGACCAAGATGAGACGAGAGAAGTGAATCAGGGGCAACCCGAAAGAAGCCCCCCGCTGTAATATCACCAAACCCAGTAAAAAAAATTTATTATACCTATTAATAATTTTTTTAAAAATAAAAGCCTCATCAGGTTAAAAGGCAGCCAGGCATATAAGTACTGCTAATAGAAAGCTAGCTAAGCCGGGTCATGAGCGTAGCTCGAACTACGTTCCATGACGATTTTAGGAAGGGAGCATATGCAGGCCGGCCCACCGGTCCCCTTCATTGTTGTTTGGTTTGCCCTGCACATGGAACGAACCCGGCAACTCCGTCAAAGCCCAGTCATCACCCGGGATAGGCCTGATCAATTTGGACAGCGCCAGGAGACGGAGCCCCGCAGCACACCGGCGCTGACCGTAACAGACGGTGCCATCATATTTGTGAGAGGTTTCGCAAGCCGTTTACGCCCGAGGACAAGCCCTGTATTTTAAGAGATGGTGGCTGCCATCACAAAATTGCCCATCTCGTCAGTCTTGAGGACTACAACAAAAATTATATATCATTGCACCTTCGTCGCAAGTACTGTTTTGATACGCCATCCGTGTGCCTTTATTTGGAGACTTAATGACCAGCGCTGAGAGAAACGGCTACTTGCTGCACAAAAGGTTAGGGGTCACGTTTCATGTTCCCACGACTCTTACAGAACAGGACAGGCGCCCATTTGTCTTGCTCTGTATAGAGTATAGAGTACGGAGAGCTTACGCAGTCGTCCGCACGGCTGGATGCAGGCTCCGGCTGTCTTGCGCAGACTTATGTCGCTGCGATAGGTGAGCCGATATCGGCCCTGCTAATTTGGTTTTCCTTTTGGCACACAGCCAAAAGCGCTCGAAGAAGCCATCTGGTGCTCTTTTCGACCGACAACGCAACCTGCCTGGCTGCCTCTTCCGAGCCGTCAGTTCAAGGGCGAATCAGATAAGGCAATTAGTCGCTCCGTCGGAGGCTTCCCTCGTGGCGTTGCAAGCTGATGTGGACTATACGGTTCATACGAGCATCACTAGGTCCAAGTGACAAGTTGAAGTGAGGCCTGGCGAGACCCGCAGACACACGGGCATGTGGGGATGCTTGGTGGTGTCGGGCTTCTCTTCAGTTTGGTCCAGCTTCCCGGCAAGTCCCCGGTGGTTATGTATATATTGTCGTACTGGCGTGACATTAAATTTACCCATGGGTACCCATTGTTACACCCTAGCCCCCTGTATTATGGTTCCCCTCGGCGATGACAAGCTTGTTTCCTGTTACCCGATGAAGCGAGCCGCCAACCATAAATCCCTGTAATCTGTGGCGCGCCCAATAACGAACCTGGCGGTGCGATGTGATTGGCTTCACGTTTCCTCGGCCTAAGCTTGTTTTCTGTTGCGTTGTAATGTTTTCTATTCCAGGTCCCTCTCCCTCTTCACGGGGGAGCAATGGTATCTGACAACTGTACTTGATATGTCGCATCTATGCTACACTCATAATAAAAACGACCACCGATGACTTTCAACCATGTCATCCAAACTTTCTCACTAGTATCTCATTAATCGGTGGTCCTAAAGACGAATCTTGAAGGTAGCGGTCGAGCATCGACTCCTGGAGAGGAGCAGCTTGTGGCAACTGATGTCCGGGACTTGGAACCTGACTACACACGACACTGGTTAACCATCACGTGGTTGTGGACTTGTATTATTTTGCTCATGGAACCAACTTTGCTGCCGGAGCTTGCGTTTGTTTTGTATTTGCACCTGTGTAACCAGCCCCGGCGTCGACGCCAGTCTCCACAACCAAGGACGACACGGACTGGTTAGCCATTGTGCCCGCCAAGTATAGCGGTAGTAGTGTGCGAGATGCAAAAGGCCGTGTACTGGTCTGCTGATAGGATTTAGGGAAGCGAGAGCATTCAGTAATGAGGAGAGAGATGAGGTTTTCCGATCGAGTTGGAAGGCCAGGGGGAAGGACAATTTATGTTCATTCACTTCAGCTGTTCTATACTCTCTGTACATACGTTAAGTATACTTTTGGGGACTGGGTTATGGGCTCAGCAACTGCCCAGAGCTCAACCTTCATCTCGTCCTACATTAGAACCCAGGCAGGGTTGTGGAGCTATGTCGGGCTACGTGTATATTATTGGCCTGAGGATGAGGATTCAGGGCGTCAAAATGGCCAATCCAATGTTATAGTACATCTATATGTATACATACCGAGATACCGATGGATGTCGCAGTGACACACATGGGTCCCCAGGCATGTGGATGTGGTAAGATTCCGGCCTTGGACTTGCAGGGCGATTGTTCCCCAGCACACTCTATGTAGGTATTCATCGTCATGATTCGTGCTCAGCGACCCAATCAATAGACAGGATGCAACTACCAACCTTGATATAACCGCCAGCCTTGATGCTATTGACAAAGCATCATGGAAATTGCACAGTCATGAGCCCTGACCATGCTATTAGTGCCCTTGCGTCATACGTGTACACCAGTGCGCGAGAACCTATTCCGTAGCCAAGTCTACAATAAGTTGGCGAATTACACGAGACAAATTTTGCGCAATGCTAAACCCAAGGGCCCTTGTTTGCTGGCTGTGACGCCGCAAGTTGGAAAATTGTATGTCGCCTGCTCGGACCCGACGGCCGAGTTACTCGTGCGTGGCTTATGCACCATGTCGACATTTTGGGAGGGCGACAGTCTCGCCCGGCACCCGCTGCCCTGCCCAAGCTCTTCCAGGTGCGGAGTACACATCCCAATAGACGGACTCCGCTATAGGGTTTCACAGGAAGGCTTGGCCAACATGAGTTGCATGTCATATGGAGAGTTGTGCTGCGAGGCAGCTCTAGTCCGGAGACGGGCAGGATAGAGCAAGAATAGAGCAGTCAACTAGTAAGTTATTTCGAAAAGAAGTCGGTCCCCAGTGCCCACCTCCCCTCCTCCGTTGCAACTCATCACAGCCCTCGTCGACTCGCAGGGAGTTGCCTTTGTGCCGTCAAATGGTCTTCAGAGCCGCCCTCGTGAGACGTGACGGCGTTGTGGATATTCCCATAAAAGGCTACGAGAGAGGTAGCATATCATCATTAGATTGCTACTTTTGGGGTCACCAATCCTTTATCAAATCAGGATGCCTGTTGCTCCACGTGTGGCTTGCATCGCAGACACCACACCACGAGTAGTACTACCATGTAGCATTTTCTCGGCCACAACGGCAAACACAGACCGCAACTGACTAGTTCCAGCAACAGCCATCATGGCGTCTCGGTTCTGGTCACTTCCTTTGCCCGTAACACAAGGACGCCCACGCCTTTGGCCCGGTCCGCATTCCCCGGCCTACAAATGGTTTAGCCTCGAGCTTGAGGCAAGCTGAACATGTCTTGTCGACTTGCAGCAGTATTGAAGTAGAGTCCTAACCAATAAGAAACCTAGTAATAAAAGGTACACTATTTGATTTAAGAAATAATATGATGATCAAAGTTTAAAAGATTTCTCAAGTTACGAAAAGTGACATCACACTTCATGATTGACAAATTGCATGCGAGTCGCTTAGTCATCCTCATGGTCCTCGACTCCTCGATATTTTCTTTTGTTTTTTTCCGCGAAGCCAACTCTGCGAATACCACCAACTTGCTCGATACGCCGCGGAAATCACGATCACAATAGCTTCCACCATTGAGGCCGAAGTACCTCATAGCAACTTTGACGTATGTACCGCCATTACCGGCAGAAGCCTAGAATTCGAGCCTCGGCCCTCGAGGGCTCACTTGTCGTCGCGCTCCACAATTTGCGATTGATCACCCCCAGACAGAGTGCCCAGGCGCAATCAATGTACAGCCGTAAGAAGAGTGGACTAGCTGACCCTGTCTTTCCAGACCATACTTGTACTCGACTTCGGCTCACAAACTAGCCATCTTATTCTGCGACGGCTACGGGCTCTTGGCGTCTTCGCTGAGCTACTTTCGTGTACCACCAAGGTCGCTGAGCTGCCATGGAAGCCCAAAGGAAATATCTTCTCTGGAGGTGTCAAATCTCTTGATGTATGGTTTGTGCTGAGATCTGACTGATCTACTAGGCCCTTCCTCTGTCTATGACGAGGGCTCACCCCGTACAGTTTCCGTCTCCCAAACGTCCCGTTACATGTGCTCATATGTGTAGATGTTGATCCTGCTGTTTTTGAACTTGATGTACCCATTCTGTGAGTGTTTTTTACCCTCCGCTCAAGTCTCTGAACCTAGAATAACACGGATGTGCAGTGGTATTTGGTACGGCTTGCTCCAACATCCATCGATACACGCTATGACACTAACATCATTGACCCCAGCTATGGTTGCCAGGAGATCGCTTGGCGAATCGACGCAAAAAATGTTGTTCGCGGAGAGGCACGAGGTTTGTGACGTTTGAAACACCATGTGAAATTACTTCTGACCCTCCCCATAGAGTATGGCCACGCGGACGTCACCATCACCAAGTTAACATTCATGCCGACCGGCTTTTCGCCGGGTTGGGAGACGGAATTTCTGTCTTCATGTCCCACTTTGACAAGCTAATCAACTTGCCTAAGGCGAGTGAAGTTTCATTCGAATTTTGGAAAACTCATTAACTCTAGCAGGACTTTGTGGTTATTGCTGCCACCAAGAAATCAGAGTTCGCTGGCATCGCCCACGAGGAGAAGCCTATCTTTGGTTTGTTTTGCCTAAGCTACCTTTGTAGCTCAGTAAGGGAGGATGCTAACAAGGTGACTAGGTGTCCAGTTTCATCCTGAGCTCGAACACGTTCGTCCCTCCAAGGCCTTACAGTGGAACTCTCTCTGACATTCGGATCTAGACCCCCCGCGGATCCGATATCCTGTTCAACTTCAGCGTCGATATCTGCGGAGCTCGACCAAACTGGAAAATGGGCAACTTTGTTGAGCTCGAGATCGCTCGCATCGGGGATCTTCTTGGTCCCAAAGCTCTCGTCATTGGTGGCGTAAGTGGCGGTGTCGACAGCACTGTAGGAGCGACTTTGATGCGTGAAGCCATTGGGGACCGCTTCATCGCGACAGGTATAAACAATGGCTGTATGCGTCGCAACGAGTTCGAGGAGGTCAAGAAAAATCTCAGCGACCACCTCGGTATCAATCCCACCGTTGTCGTTGCCGGCGAGCTGTTCTTGAGTCGGCTTGCGGGTGTTTCCGATCCCGAAAAGAAGCGAAAGATAATTGGGTCGACTGTACGTACTATAAGTTGTCTTGGATGGGTTCGCGACAGTGATACTACACCAAAGTCATCGATGTGTTCGAGAAAGAGGCTATAAGGGTACGCACCTTTCCCTGAAAGTGTGGAAGGCTTACTAACACGGCTCACAAGATCGAAAAAGAAGCAGAAAACACACCAGATTCCGGGAAGGTCGAGTGGTTCTTGCAAGGGACACTATACCCTGATGTGTAAGTCGTTTTTGAGCTTGTAATATCGAGTCCAAGCTAATAGCATTTCAGTATCGAGTCAGACCCTCAGCGACAATCAAGAGTAAGTTGATAAAGCTCGACCCCTGTGTTCATCACTTTTGTGTCTACCTCCGGCACCTTGAGAAGAGCCTTGTGTTGAACGATTTTGACCTGCGAGACGCCTCCTTCCTTCAGCCGTAAGCCTCCTCAATCGCCAGTTGAGATTGATGGCAGCGGTCTGAAGGAAAAGGCAGCCTTTTCATCTTCTTAGGAAGAGGAAAGTTGGCGCCTCTGCAGGTAAGGTTTTCATTGCTTCTGTAGTTGAAAACCTAATTAAGGTTCCTGTGTTGTACAGCCTTGGATGTGTTGAGGTATTGCAATGTGTCGAAAACTGTGTTCTTTGGTCTTGTCGCCGGCCTTTCTGCCTTCTAGGCACGAAAAGGAATTAGATAATAATGATAAAGCTCGAAAAAGTCGTGCAAGAACTGGACACTAGCTAACTAGAGATAGCCCACCATAATACTGGCTGTTTGCCCGAGGTAAGAAAAATCAACGCCTATGATTCATTTCCCTGTTACTTACCAGCGTGTAGCGAATGATGAATGGCGTAAGTCGAACACCGCTTAGCTAAGTTTGATCACACTGACTAAGACGGTTTATTTAGCAAGGCTTACGTGTAAGTACACTTCTATCTTTCATCACGGAGTGAAATCTGACATGACTTCTATCACAGCTATCGAGCCGCTCCGACTTTTATTCGTGAGTCTTATACTTGTCTTCAATACGCTCGGTCATGCAGCTAATAATACTGCACAGAGAGATGAAGTGAGGGTAAGGTAATAACAGGGTGAATCTTGACTTTACGTTTACTAAGCTTTGCAGGCAATTGGTCGGCAACTCGGCATACACGAGTCGCTGGTAAACAGGCACCCATTCCCCGGGTATGTTGATCACCCTCGAGCTTCTCATTCTCCTTACCAGCTTTGTAGCGTCTGCTAACTAAATCGAATGCAGACCGGAAATTGCCATTAGGATTCTTGGCGACGTTACCAAGGAGCGAGTTGAGATCGCCCGCAAGGCTGACAATATCTTCATCAACATGATCAAGGAGGCTGGCCTTTACGACCAGGTAGGGCGCGTCACGCAGGTCAAGATGGGTGCAAGCTAAACATGCCTCCTAGATGTCCCAAGCCTTTGCTAGTCTTGATACTAGCCGTAGTGTTGGTGTTTTTGGTGATGTGCGCGTTTGGGGTTACATTGTAATCCTCCGCGCTGTTCGTACGAAAGACTTTATGAGCGCTGAGGTGTTCAACTTTGACAACTCATTCCTCCAGGTAAATCACCCAGCCCTTATACCGTTCTTTCGCGTACTAATCCCTTACCTAGGATGTCTCGCGTGCCATTTGCAATCAGGTAGATGGTGTGTCCCGTGTTGTCTATGATTTGTAAGAAACTGATGGCCCCTATGAATCTCGAGCTTCGTGCTAATACAGTCTCACTAGAACTTCAGATTCTCCTGGCTCTATGGAGCTGGAACAGGCGGCATAATGGAATACTTCCCAGCGTGGGCTGGCGAGAAGAATAGAAAGTGAGTTTTATACCATTTGGAGACTCTTCTAAATAAAGGCACATAAAATGGAAAGGGCGAATGGGCTCAGAATTGATTGCACCGTGCCATGATGCTGGCCGTCTTTGGAGAGGACGCGCAGCGCGCAATAAAGATATCAGGCTGCGGCAGTGGAGAACCCCCTGTCAGGACTGGGTACGAATAGCAGAGTGACTACGGAGATGTGACAGGAAGCCTCGCTGCGAATAAGCTATTAGTTAGGTGCGTAGTTGGACTGTATTAATCTCTGAACCTCTCACTATCCACTGCTACGGAGTTTTCCTGTTATACCTCGCTGTGCCCTCGTGACTAGGGCACAGCTAAGGAATACCTCTTGCATGGTACCTGCCGACGAGCACGTAAGGCGCGGGGGCGGGGGAGGGCCAACGCTACCCTGTGGGTATTAATGGGCCTGGTTGGACGACATGGCCCGTGACTTCTTTAGGCAAGGCGTCCGGTTTCGGCTGGCCACCGACGGGAGGATCCACCATTCAACGGCCTGTCACACGCGTACCGGGCGGGAGCTAAAACTTTGAATCCGTGCCTGAGGAAGGAGCGACAAACGGCGTCAAAGCGTCCAAGGTAGGAAAGAAGAAAAAAGCATGACATGACGACAATGTTATCGCTACGTTCAGAGAAGGGAATGAATACCCAGATAATTGCAATCTCGCACACTTGTTATTGTACGCCTCGTTTCAAATTTCGCACGCTTCACCTGTACGCTGTCTAGTCACCCCCACCGTTTCGGGCTAATAGCGTCCGGAGCAATTCGTCACCTTCACTCCATTGGATCCTTCCAAGGATTGTGCAAGCAAGAACAAAAAAAGAAAAACGTTGCTCAAGGTACCATCTGTCCTTCGCAGGGACGCCGGTCTCCAGACTGGCTCCCACAATGGCAAACGGTAGGGCGGTCAAGTACGTGTTGCCCCATCTATTATATGATATATCCATGTCCGCCAAGTACCCCGTACCCAGGGAGCCGGCTTTGTTGTCTCTTCTCTCCGCAACTTCTCGTGTGTAAAAAATCTCGCCTCATGGCGCACCGGGAGCTTTGGCCAGCGGCATGACCACTTGGCCCATCAATGCAGACATATCCCGTCCCAGCCCGTCTTCAATTGTGGCCTGTGCCTGTGCTATCCTAACAAGACCCATTTTGAGAAATTCTACGCCCTCGCTGGCAGACACTGCACTTGTAGACCATCATTTCAAACCCCAGACACAAGAAAATGCGTCATCTTGCTTTACTCGGGGGCCTTTTTTTTTTTTTTTTTCCTTTTTGGCTGCTGGCCTGAAAGCTCGCTGGCCAGTAGAGCAGCCATTCACGCCTTGCGCCGTGGCGTCGGTGAACCTCAGGCGAACTACGTGCAGGGACTGGCCCCTGAGCAATATCAGCCCAATTTCTCTTTAGCATTGCGTAAGTGCAGTATTACCGCGTGTTCAGGCTGGCGCGAACCACTGGGCAACGAGCAGGGCCAGCCATTGGGTCGCGCGGGTTTGCGACTACGGCGATGCGTGTCTCACGCCGGCCGTACGCCGTACTGCGGTTGACTTGGGTGGCTCACATCACCTGTTCCAACTGTAAGTCATCCAATTCAGGGCCCATTCTCTGCGGCATGGCGTTGGCTCCAAGGAGGCGAGCACAGTTTTGCATCTAGATTGGTTTCTGTAAGTGGCATGGCGATCCGAATACATGCGTCGGACCGGGGGGAGCCGACATGTTTGAAATTGGCGGACAGAATTGCGGACCGGTTCACAAAACTGTCTTGTTCTGGAGTCTATCTGATGTCATTGCATCTTCTGGCCCGCCTGTCTGGTCTCCAGCGCCTTGGTGCGGCCGCCCGTGGCCACGACTTGAGCTGCGCTGCGGCAGCCTCGTTCCTCACAACCCGTCAGTAGTGAGCCAGGGGCGCGGAAATGACCCATTGCTGGAGGGCGTTGCTCGGTTTACCGAGGCCGCTGTTCGAGAAAAAGTTCAAAGGCCATGAACCATCTTGATCGGGCTGCCGCTGCGGATGCATCGCACGCGCGCGAGTTCCATGCAGTGTGTCCTGTACTGCTGGCATGTACACAATCACTGCCCGCATCCTCCTGCATTCTTTTGTGTTTTTCTCTTCCTCTTCTTTCTTTCTTTATTGGTCCCGTAGCCACGTCACCTTGCACTCTCCATCGCCCTGTTGCCTTTCCCATGAACAATGCCTCGCCAGTCTGACCCACGCAAGACGCCGTGCATCGTACACACATGGCTTGATGGTTTGTGCAACAGGGCCATGACTGAATCCCGTGTTTGCAAAATCCACCTTCTTGGTGATGTGATTTGCATACACCCCACCCCAGCACCGACAAGTGAAGTCGACCCGTAGCCGCTCTACTTGGTGTGCATAGTTTCCACGACGGCAGCTCGCAGTCGACTTGGGACGAAAACAGAGGCTTGCACAACCCGTCCCCCAATATACGCGGCTGGGCATAATGTCCTTTGTCATGATGTTGTTTCAGGCCCTGTCCAAACTTGGTGGCCGACTCATCGGGTGGACAACTGGACAAAGGTACAATGGCTATCGAGTACCGAGTGTCGACGATGCTTTCCCGAGCAACGCAGCCAGCGAGGCTTACCAGAGCCGCTCGAATGCCCAGTCCCTTTATTACTTGCATCCCTACCAGTAGCAGCCGGTAGCTACGCCCGGTAATGTGATGCCATTTTCGTTCTCCATTGGCACTTTGCGTATATCGCACACCCGACAAGAACGTGACCACGCACCGCACCATGGCTATTCATGTATTATCGTCTGACACTGCAAGCTGCAGGGGACTCCGTAGTGGATCTCGGCATCTCATAGCTGGCCATTCACACCACGCTTCACCTTGATGTCTTGGCTTGCTTGAAATATCTTGGCCCCCAACCCCTTGTAGAGGGCGGTTCTATATTGCAACGTCTCTGTCCACAGCGCATTTCGGCAGAAGGAGGGAAAAAAAAATCATTCAATTTCGGCTGGATAGGAAATCAAGTCCGCAGACGACGTGTAGCTATGCATTGTGCCTCTCTTCGTGCTCCATGTACATGATTCCCAAGACAACCCACAACCCCCCCCCCCCAACAAAAA